CGCAACTATAATTATAATATTTCCTAATAATTCCAAAGCAACCCTTGAAAGTCATGACTTCCACTCGATCAGACCCCACAAATCACCATTTCTCTGCTCTTTTTCTTGACTAAAATTTTCTTATTTATTTTATTTTCATCTAAAGTCGGTACCAAATGCCGTGGGAATACCGCTTTCTAGCTAGGTACAGTCACAAAGCACATCTTCATTATTTTTAATTATCATCTTGAATTTTGCATTTTACGTGTTCAACCAAAAATCAAAGATCCCCAAACCCTCGTATCATACATATCCCTCTTAAAAAGACACACACCCCCATTTCATTCCTCAAGGCAAAACAAACTCAGCGATCACTAAACATGGCTACACCCAAAATCATCACTTTTCTGTTGATCATTTCCATCATTTATTTTGCAGGCAAGGTCGAATCTGCTAGCAGGACTAGATCTAGCGCAACCAACTTCATTAAGGGTCAATGTAGTACCACCCAGTATCCTGCCCAGTGTGTCCAATCTCTCTCGGTTTATGCCTCCGTGATAAAGCAGAGTCCACGAAAACTGGCTGAAACGGCCTTGTCTGTGAGTCTAGCTCGGGCACAGTCCGCCAAGGTCTTTGTGTCGAAGATGGGGAAGTTCAGAGGGCTCAAGTCTAGGGAATACAAGGCTATTGGGGATTGCATTGAGGAAATGGGAGACAGTATAGACCGGCTCAGCAAGTCGATCCGAGAGATGAAGCGCGTGGGGAATGGCAAGGGTCGAGAGTTGCAGTGGCACATTAGCAATGTGCAGACTTGGGTCAGTGCGGCGCTTACCGATGAGAACACCTGCATTGATGGGTTCGCCGGCAGGGCTCTTGATGGGAAGATTAAGTCCTCTGTGAGAGCTCGTGTTGTTAATGTTGCCCAGGTCACGAGCAACGGACTGGCGTTGGTTAACCGGTTTGCCTCCAAGCTTTGACCGGAGATTCCCCCCCCCTCCTCCCTCCCCCTTTTTTTTTTTTTTTTGTGTGTGGGAGCTATGAAGTTATGGGTTTTGTTCATGTATGCGAAGCTTTCTATTTTGTGGAGTCGATAGATATTTTGTTTTCTTACTAATGGATTGTGGTACAACTTATGACAAACAAAATTATAAAACACAAAAAAAAAAAAGAGAGTAAAATAATGAATTAAATTATTAATAAAAGTAGTATATTTTTATTTGTATAATTAAGATTTGAATGTTTATTTTTTTCTTATCTCTTTTTTTAGAAAAATTTTAACTAATCAATCTATTTCATAAAATAGTAAAAGGGTTTCTTTTCCTTTTTAAGCAAATGAATTTATTACAGGAAGTAAAGGAATAGATGTTTTGGGTTAGTTTTATGCTTGTAGTATAATGGAGCTAAAATCTAACTACCTCTTTTTTTACTTTTTTCAAAATAGCAATGAAAATCTAACTGCCGAATCATTCAATGAAAATGAAGAGATCTTTGGGATGCTAAAGGCCTTGATTTAAGGGATTGATTTGTACTGCGGAGAAATCAAAGCATTGATTGGATGGTCCAAAGTCAGATATGGTCTCCGGACATCAATTTAAATCGCTAAAAATTCAAATGTGGACATAGCCACATAGGCCCCATAAAAAATCTAAAGAAAAAAAAAGGGGGAAAAAAACGGTGGGCTCAGGCCGGAGGCAAATCTCTGACGGTGACCACGTGACAAGGGTTTTGCGGTTGTGGAAATAGAGGTTAGCATGTTCACTATAGGTGGGTATGAATTATATTTTGTATTTGAATTAAATATTTTTTAGTATAAATTTGATATTTATTTAAATATTTAAAAATTTATACTAAATATATAATTTAATATATATTATATAATTTATGCACAAAAAATTGTGTTACACCTCACTTTGTGACGAACTCTAAAATAAAGATCATCATAGGAAGAGGCCTTTGATATTAGGCTTTCTTCTCTTTTCGATGGTCTTGATTATGTAGTTTGTTATAAAATAAATGGTAAGACAAAACAATTTTTTTTTTTTTTTGTTAGGATCACTTCATATTTGAAAATTCATTAGACTACCGATTAATTTGGATCCGAGTTAAGCAAGATCTAACGGGTGGTAAAACTCTTTTTTATAAGTTTTAATAGAACTGCATTCTCAGTTCTTGAAACCAAGACTTCTAATTAAGGTAGAAGAGTTCCCTATTAACTCATACACCTGCTCATGGGTCAGAACATCTATTTATAAATTTGATGTAGGAGAAAAAGTCTAAAATGAGATATTATTATGTGTATTATGTATTTGATTTAAAATTTATTATTTATATAAGTTGTTATTATTACATATATAATTTAATTGGTTAATACGTCTTATTTAATTTTAATTTTTAAATTATTATTATTATATAA